GCCAATTTTTTTTTTTTTTTTTTAAGTAGAGATGGGTCTTGTTTTTTGCTCAGGCTGGTCTTGAACCCATGAGCTCAAGCAATCCACCTGCCTTGGCCTCCCAGAGTAAAATATCATTCTCTATACTGAAGTATTAGAACCATGCTTGTTAAAGTCAAAAAGAGAACAAGGATGCCTACTATCCTCCCCACTCTTCAGTATATAATATCTGAGGCCCTACCCAGTACACTAGGTCAAGGAAAAAAGGATTACAAAAGGAAGGAGTCAAAATTGTCCTTAAAAATGGTATAGCTAACCTACCTAGGTAGAAATCTATAACCTAACCATTAAGACTAATAAAAGAATTGAGAAAGATGATTAGATTCTAACTGACATACTAAAATCAAGCTACACCTGGATGATATATCCAAGCAATAAGGCTGGAAGATATAACAAAATATACTAATCACCATTTGGGCATCCATAGAAGGTAACTACGCTGGGGTGTGGGGCGATGTTGACAGGAATGAGGAAGTACGGCTTCCAGCAGCAGGTACTATGGTCACCACTGCAATTCTTCCTGTGAAGAAATAGGGGAGATTCTAGAAACCAAACTCACCAAACATCTCCCAGACTGTCTATATGAGGTTTATGTGTCACAGAGGTAACACTCACTAGGCAGTAAGTAACCCAGTTCTTAGCAAGACTACTTCAAATATCAATGCCAGTAACTCACTTCCAACGCTCATATTTATTTACTTAAGGCACTCCAGCCTCTGCTTAGTACAGGAATTATTGTTGGTTATTTACTTGGTTTCACCTTACTAAACTCTAAGTAAGATTTTAACAAGAAGAAAATGTTGTCTGCTTCCCTTTACTAAAATCTAACCTCCACGAGTGAAGTCAGAGACTGTTTTGTTCTCCCCTGTAACCTCAGCATCTAAAATAGTGCCTGAAACATAGCAGATGCTCAATAAATGCACTGAAAGCTGGATGGAAAGGATGACCCCTCTGCTGAGTCTCAAAGGGTAACCAGGAGCAGTTTGCCAGATGGAGAGGCATGGCCTTAGTGAAGGCATAAAGGCATAAAACAACATGAGCTCTCTGCAGGGAAGCCAATTCACCACTGCTGGGAAGTGATACACAGGCCTGAGATGAAAACTGAGAACTGGCAAACCCAGCAAGAGAGAGGCCAGAAGAGCTTTGTCTGGAATTCTTAAGAGTTGGAGCTCTGGGCTCGGCACCTGTAGCTCAAGCAGCTAAGGGGCCAGACACAACAGAGCTAGCGGGTTCGAATCCAGCCTGGGCCTGCCAAACAACAACAACAACTACAACCAAAAAACAACCGAGGGTGGCACCTGTGGCTCAAAGGTCCTTAAAGATCACCCACTGGCCCCATATGCCAGAGATGGCAGGTTAAAACCCAGCCCTGGCCAAAACTGCAAAAAAAAACAAAAAACAAAAAAACAGCCAAGCGTTGTGGCAGGCATCTGCAGTCCCAACTACTTGGGAGGCTGAGGCAAAAGAATCGATTAAGCCCAAGAGTTGGAGGTTGCTATGAGCTGTGATGCCACGGCACTCTACCCAGAGCAACAGCTTGAGGCTCTGTCTCAAAAAAAAAAAAGAGTTGGAGCTCTGTCATGAAAGTGACTGAGGAGCAACTAAGGGGATTTAAATGAAGTACAGATTTATATAGTTCAATCTGACAGCTGATCATAGCAGATTTGAGAGGGTCAAGACTGCAAGAAGGGATCAGAAACATATTGCTTTAATTCAGAAAAGTAACAATGATTTTAAAATTAGTATTAAGCACAGATAACCATATTAAATATGTACTATTCTGTGTCAGGTTGTTATCTCATTATCTCATATAATCTTCACAATAATCTATGAAGTTGGTACTATTCCCATTTTACAGATGAGGAAACTGAGGCACAGAGAGATTACGTGAACTTGGCTAAGGTTATATAGCTGGTAAGTGGGGGAACAAAGATCCAAACCCAACAGTCTTTAACTGCAGAGCCTGAACCCAAGGCCACTCTGGTAGAAGTAACAGACAAAGTCAAGGCGCATTTATGAGGTAAAACTCAGCTACACTATGTGATTTCTTTGGCAGTAAAGGTAAGGAGGAGGAAAGTGACTCCAAAGTGTCTGGCTTGAAGGACTAGTAATTAGAGACTCAGAACTAAAAACGTCCTTAAACATCACCCACTCTGGCTGCCGACCCAATGTCAATATTTCTTCTCTACCATCTCTAAGCAATAGTTATCCAGCCTATGACTGACAAGACAACACAGATCTGAGCTGAGTCAAACTTTGTCACCCATTACTAAGAACCTACAGACATAAAATACACTGAGAGAGCTGGGTCTCCAAGATTTCATCTGCTAATTTTTATACTGTGATATGCAGAACTCTAGGCTTCTGCAGTGACCTTACAGTGGCTATCACAGGCTGCCCTCTGCCTCCTCTCTCCTGCTTCAGTAAAGCACTGTCAATTTTATAATACTCACGTTAAGCTTAGGTCCTTGTAGGATTTCACTTGGAAAAAAAGAGTACAATGCTTTTAAAAGGTCTCATAATCACTGATCCAGATCAATAACCCTATTTCATGGGAAAGGAATTTGAAGTCTAGCTAATGTGAGTTGGTCAAGGTCATTGCTCAATAGTCACAGAGCAAAGCAATCCTTCAGATACTGGAAACTACCCCACTCCTCTCAGCAACTTTTCTCTCTTTGCTCACATTTTTATATGAGAATTTTTAAACAGATTTTAAATTGTGTAGTAATATAATATACCAAAGTAAACATTCATTCTCTTTATATTTGATAGCTCTAGGTGTTGTCTGAACACTTAGTCCTCTCTACCTCAGAATCAGTATCTAGGATAAGGTAATTTATATAATGTATTAATTATTAATAACCATATGCAAGTTCATGAAACGATGGAGTTACAGCAAAAGTTCTAAGTTGACTAGCTTGACTTAAAAATCACACTCTACATAACATTTCTGCCTAATTTATGCCCTTGCTTGAGAAAGTAATTCAAGTCAATTCAATTAAAATAATATGCTTTGGCTTGGGGTCCTTCAACTTCCTGATTCCTTAACTTTGCACTCTGTAGAGCTTATAACATAAACCTTGTAATTGATTAAAACTATGACTTGATCAGGAGAAAAAAAATATTCTCACACAAAGACTGCAGAAGCACTCAAGACTCACGCATTTCTATGAACAGCTGCCTCTTCTCTGCCATGGTCTTCCGCTTGTTTCCACTTTCCTCAATCATCCTAGAGACAAAGAGAGATACAATAAATCACTGTGAAATTTGACAGTTCAACCAAGGGCTAATCATTAAGCTGCAAAGAGGTACAGGAAAAAAAGTTGCAAATGCACATTTTAAGACACTATCAATAAAAATAAATGGGAAGCCTGATAGAGAAGATATAGACTATTGCACTTTTTTTTGATAGCTTCTAAAATATTAATCAGTCAATACTTAAGCTCATAGACTTGCTTCTCGTACTGAAAACTTGGGGCTGTCTTATTTCTAACTTTGATTATCTTTGCTGCAGAGTCCTAGATTAATTTCCCATATCACTACTGTTTGATAAATAAATGTTTTATAGATAAACATGTTACTAAATGCAATTTAGAAAATAAATATATTGAAAGGCTACAATAAAGAATAGTTGGGTTATAAAATCTTTTTCTTCTTTTCGTCTGTTTTTTTTTAGAGACAGCTATGCCCAGGCTGGAGTGCAGTGGTACAATCATAGTTCACTGCAGCCTTGAACTCCAGGGCTCAAGGGATTCTCCTGCCTCAACTCCCAAGTAGCTGGGACTACAGGTAAGCACTACCTTGCTTGGCTCACTTTTTAATTTTGTAGAGACAAGGTCTCACTATGTTGCCCAAGCTGGTCTAAAACTCTTGGCCTCAAGCAAATCTCCCTACCGCTTCCTCCCAAAGTGTTGGGATTACAGGTGTGAACTACCATGCTCATCCCTATTTTTATATTAAGAAAAAAAAAGGTATTCATCCCCAAACCTAAAGAGCTCCTAAATGTAAATTCTTTTATCACTTACATAAGTAATAGTAGTTTATACTAACAGACCTAGGCTAGGTTCCTATTAAAACTCTTTACATGGGCTCGGTGCCTGTGGCTCAAGTGGCTAAGGGACCAGCCACATACACGTAAGGTGGTGGGTTCGAATCCCCAGCCCAGGCCCGCCAAACAACAATGATGCCTGCAACCAAAAAAATGGCCAGGCGTTGTGGCGGGCGCCTGTAGTCCCAGCTACTTGGGAGGCTGAGGCAGGAGACTCGCTTGAGCCCAGGAGTTGGAGGTTGCTGTGAGCTGTGATGCCATGGCACTCTACCCAGGGGGATAGCTTGAGGCTCCATCTCAAAAAAAAAAAAAAAACTCTTTCCATGCATTATCTCTAATCTTCACAAAACCCTATATGTTGGTGCTATTATTACCATTATTATCTACTAGGAAATAGATACATAGAAAAGAACACTAATCTGCTGCAGGGCACACAACTCAGAAGTGGTAGAGTAGAATCCTAACTCTTAAACTTCTGACATACATTGTAATTTGCTACTTAACAGACGCATACTTTCCAATCTCTAACTGAAAAACTAGAACACCTGCCCATTATGTGGACCCTATTGATGTAAAATTTGTGACAATTTCAGCTGCAGTTTGCCTTACAAATAAAGGAAAAAATATCTAGACAAAGAGTATAAGCCAAATGATTTCCCTAAGTAGATTAAACTATCATAAACCATTCCCAAATATGATTAAGATGTAGATTAAACTGCTATAAGTCATTCTCAAATATGCTGGAATCACAAATTAAATGATGACTACAAATTATATATCCATTAAACCGAGTTGCCTAATTATGAAAAGTTTAACTATAATATGCCCCAGAGAAAATTAAAAATGTAAATATATTCCTTAACATTCTGTATTTAGTATTTTGATCACGAATACCAGACATCTCACATCACTGAAATGCTACCAAGTAGGCTTTACTATACATGATAGTTGCTTGATAATTTGTCCTCAAAACAATAGAATTTTATACAGGAAATCAAGGGGGAAAAAAACAGAAAAAAACTAGATCCTAGAGAAAAAACAGTAGTTGGTGCCAGGAGCCTATAATTACAAAGGAAAAGAAAACATTCAGAAGCTTGCTTCTCCCCAGTCTTAGTCACTCACTAGGTAATACAAATTTAAAAGCTAAACATTGATTAAAACAGAAAATATCACATGTCCTTTATAATATATCTCATCTGCTAATCTTTTTTCTACCATTCCTATTCCTTTACATCATTTTTTCCCCAAAGTAATCCTTGTCCCTTCTCCAGGGATAAGAATTCCTAGAGACCCTTAAGTTCTTCATGAATTTTTTCTAAATTTTGTTTTTAAGCTCTAGATTAATCTTGGAAAAAAAAAATATAAATATTAATTCCAGATCATCTGGATGACCACCACACTACAAGGACTGCCGTATTTAGGGCCCACACCTGCATGCGTAATTATTTGTGGCACTGGTGGCAAGAGATCCCCTGACAGAGCGGTTGGCAAGTTACACAAACTGTGCTACCACAGGCCAGATCTGACCTGCCACCTATTTCTGCAAATAAAGTTCTACTGGAGCAAAGCTGCAACCACGTATTTACGTATTATCTACGGCTGCTTTCGTGCTATTGAAGTAGAAGTGAATAGCAGCAACAGAAGGAATTTGGCCTGCAAAGTCCAAAATATTTCCTATCTGGTTCTTTAAGAAAAAGGTTCTCAGCCTGACCTAAAACAATAGTAATTGATATTAAATATCTACATATGGGAGGGTAATTGGTGGGAGCACACCTATGGTGCATCTTACAAGGGTACATGTGAAATTTACTAAACGTAGAACATAAATGTCTTAACACAATAACTAAGAAAATGCAATGAAGGCTATGTTAACCAGTTTGATGAAAATATTTCAAATTGAGCGGTGCCTATGGTTCAAAAGGGTAGGGCACTGGCCCCATATGATGGAGGTGGCGGGTTCAAACCCAGCCCCGGCCAAAAAAAATGCAAAAAAAAAAAAATTTTATATATATATATTTATATTTCAAATTGTATATAAAACCAGCACATTGTACCCCATGATTAATGTACACAGCTAAAAAATAAATTGGCTCAGCGCCTATGGCTCAAGTGGCTAAGGTACCAGCCACATACACCTAAGATAGCGGGTTCGAATCCAGCC